TATATATATATATATATCGATAAGTAATTTAGTGTTTTTTTTAGTAAATTTGGTATTGGATTTGTTGTCTGATTTTATTTTGGTTTTTCAATATAGGCATTAAATAAAACATTTTTTGTGTTTTGACCTTCTTTTATTATTGGAAGATGTACATTAACATTCTTACAATGTTTGGGGTGGCACTTATATTGATTAATGAGTTTGTGAAAAAAAATCAAGAAAGATCTTTAGATCATAGTAGTCGCATTAAAGATATTACACAAGGTAATGTAATAGATAAAATTATAATAAGCAATATTTGATAGTATGTTTCATATCTTTATTAATGTTTCAAGTATACTAATTATGTCTTTTTTTTTTAAAATTAACTCTATTATTGTTAAAATTTTAAAATTTTAAAATTAACGTAAGAGGAATAACTCGTACATATTTATGTGCACATGCGCACCCATTTAATTGTATATAATAAACATGTTGATGTATTACACATAATGATGAGACTATACTTTGAATATATAGAGTAAATCTATTTTATAAAATTAAAGTTTAAGTTTAACTTAACCTAAAATCTATTTTACATTAACAAACCAATAAATTTAATTTAAATAAGTCAACAAATATATTTTTAAATATGTGTGCAAGTTTTTTTTTAATTTACACAAAAAAAATAGTTTATTCCATTATTATTATAATTTTAAATTTTAAACAAAATTAACGTAAAAGGGACAGAATTACTTTTTTCGTACAGCAGAAAATATAAACATTTAAGTGCATTGAAAATGTAAAAAATATACATAATTAGTATTTTAATTTATCAACAATATTTTTTCACAGGGTGCTTATGGGTTGACGCATACATTACTACAAAGTTTTTATTTTATTTTATGGTGTTTTGTTTTTTTTCCTATGATATTGAAACTTGATGTTTTATTTTATTTTTGGACATGAGAACAATGTCATTATTGTTATGATGGATAAATTTATTTGAAATTTTACAAGTGAAAATTTTAATATTAATTTTTTATTTGAAACATTTTATACAGTAATAATAATATATTTAAGTTAATTATATTTTATCAAATATTTTATATTAAGGTATTTAGAAAATAATTATAAAATATTATATAAAATATAAATATTAATATTTTATAAGAATATTACAGTAATATGATGTTATTCGGCCAACGGATAGGGATTATCTGCACAAGCACTATGATGTTATTCGGCGTGTTCAGCGATGGCTAGCCAGGGATTGGGTAGTTTACGTAAGTCATATCCCTAGAGAAATAAACTCAGTAGCTCATACGCTTGCTAGTTGGGGTGTAAGGAACCTAGGTTCCAATGTATTTTGGAGGAGTCCTCCAGATTTTGTTTTGTTTCCGTTAGGGAGAGACTCTATGTCTTGAGCTGTGTGCTTTGTTTAGTTTTCCTACTTTACCAAAAAAAAAACAAGATAAATATATATATGTAATTAAACACGATGTTCATCATGTTTAACAAACATTAATAACAAAATATAACACATAATTCTGATATGTTATTATCAAATATAATATAAATATATTATTGTTATGTTATAATTTGTTTTTTAATTAAAAATTGAAGTGAAATTTTCATTTTGCATATAAATTTGTGATTGAAGAATCATTTTATCTTTATAAAAATTGATTTAATAAGAATAAATTATATTTTAAAAAAATATTATACTGATTGCACTTTCTAAAGTAATTATATACTGATAGTTGCGTGGTTTTGTCAAATCCATTTTCACCCGCATTGAATTGGAAAGATGTAAAAACATATATAGTTACAAGTTTTTTTGTTTTTTTGATCATGGGATTTCATTTTGGTTACAACTTACAAGTTAATACCGGACTATCTTGGAAAGATTTTGAGACTAGGTTAAATAGGAAAAACTTTGAAAAGGACTTGGCACCGTCTAAAAAAAAGTATTTCAGATTTATTTTATATTATAGTAAGAAGAAGAGGTAATTTATATCTTACGAATGATTTTTTTTTTAACAAATGAAGAGTAGTATAATTTATTAAAAGTAAAAATAAAAATGATTCTATAAATAAATAAATTAAAAATAAGTCATGGGAAATGAGTTAGTACTATAAAGTAATAATATTAATAATGAAATTAGATAAGGAAAGTGGGGCAAGAAAGGAAGAGAGGAGAGTGACGGTGTGGTGACGGCTAGGGTTTTTTAGGTTGCTGTCTACGGTCATAAACCAAGCCACGTAGGCTATCTGAGGTAGCAATTCCGGTGCACACGTGGCAGAACTGTGGGATTTCACGACAGCGAGTGAGCGAGAGAGAATGAAAGCACCCCGCAAAACGACAACCTGTGATGCAGGGTCCACCCATTCTGACGTGGCACACTTGCTCCAAAATTTAATATTTTTTTTATCAAAAGGTACGACAACTCCAGTCGCCTGTGCATTATCAAATTAAATTTCGTTTCATTACTCTTCTCAAATAAATACAAATTATTATTTCTTCTCAACACTTTCTCCGCATTCTACGCCGATGGTATATTTCTTTTTTAAGCCGTGAAAAAAATAAAAAAAAAATAGTTTTGCCTTTTCGAGTTAAAAGCAGGCAAGCAGCCCCTCCCAGTGACGCTATCCCTCCTATGTTCACAAGGAAGATATTTACCTCATCAAAAGCAAAGACAAGTGAAGTGTAACCAATACCAAGATCCGAGGCTACCAACGAGCCTCGTTACAACCTCCACGTGTTGCATATTTTCTTTGCCACGTTTTCCAATACATACTGCTTTCCAACTCAATTACCTTCACTTATTTCAAATTATCAAACACAATTAAAATATAACTTAAAAAAATAATCTTAATTATAATATTTTCGCTGCAACGTGTGTGTACATGTCAAATAAGAAATTCAACCAAGAGTACCCTTGGCTTAAACCAGCGCGTGCATCAAAAGAAAGCCTGTTTGGGTTTGCTGTCTCCATCTCCAATTAATTAATTGTTATACGTTTTGTTATTAATATTAAATATTTATTAACTATTCAATTACTGTTTATTGTTTATTATTTTAACTGTGGTGTAAATTTTGAGGAGAACTAGTAGATATTAAGATAAGTTCATAAATTTTCTGAAATTTTAATTGTGGGACCCAGGTACATGTCATGAAGCTACCACATCTCGCGAACGTGACAATTAGGCCAAAGGAGAGAAAATAATTTCTAGATCGGCAGCTATTGGTGGGCCCACACACCTTGGAAGTTCCGTGACCGTGACTCTGAGTTACTCTAGCTTCGGCGCTCATCTCAGCCGTCCAATCAGAAAGCTTGGACGGGGGCGATTTGGGGTTGACGATGGACGCGCCCGAACCTCTTGGTTTAGGTGCCATGTCGGACTCGCTCGTTCGTTGGAATCTGCTTGTTTTTTCAATGAATGCCCACTGCCACGTTGGACGCATCCAACGATGGAGAGTGCACGTGTTATTGATAACGCGAGGATCTGGCCCGTAGAACAGAAATGTTTGTTTTGGTTGTTTATTTATTCTCAGGTGGGTCCACTAGTGTAGTCTATTCTAAAATTATAGATTATAGATAGATATAGAAATTAAAATAAAATGAAAAAAAGCAGAAAGGGTAAAAGAGGAAGCTAATTAATGAATTTGACCGGTGGGAGCGATATTTTCTGCGGTCACCTAGATTCCTTGTGATGGTGGTGTTTCATGTTTGCTTTTACCAAGGTCCCGGCAACCGGAGATAGCCGGTAACCGGTCGACGTCCTATTATTTAACATTTTCTCAGGAAAAAAATCAAAGTATGGCACATTCATTTGAACCCATTAATTGAATTATTAATTTATTAAATAAAAAAGATATTATAACAAATAAGTAGCAAGTAAAGATGGAAAAAGATGGAGAGGGCAAAGAAGGGAAGTGGACACGTGGAGGTGAGTCGCTGAAAAAGGTGTTACGCATGAGTGGTGAGATGGAGGGCTAAGATGGTGCCATGATGTCACGAGAGAAGGGGGTCCGTTGGATCGGCGGAGTGAGGAAGGGTGGAGATTGAAACAGGTGACGCGGTGGAGAATCGTGACCGTCCAGGAGTCTTTGGAGTGGGTTTGGCAGAGAGTGAAATAGCGGAAAGGAGATGAGATTGGAGCACAAAAAGGGGAAGAGAGATAGAGATAGAGAAGCGAAGAGTGGTGCAGCAGCAGCGTGAGGAGGAGAAGAAAAGATAAGCAAAGCAAAGTAGCCTCCCCCTAAGATCTCTGTTAATTGTTATAACAGGAAAAGAGGATCTTTAGAGGAGAGAATCAATTTATTTGCGGGTTCAAAATTGCCTCTCTGTGATTATGGTTCATACCTGATTCGGCGGAAATAGAGGATCTTCGTGTGGAATGGACAGGATTAGAGAAGCCAGAAGAAGCACTATGGCCGCAAATGGTTTAACCCGAAGAAGACACAGGACTAACAGTCTCAGAGACTCACCAGGTTCCCAATTCTCTCTCAGATCTCAATACTTGTATCGCTTCCTCTTTATTTCTTTTTTCTCACCATGCGTGCTTTTTTTCTCCTTTTTTTTTTTGGTTTTGTGCAGAGGAAGATGGAGCGATGGAGCTGCAAGAGCCAACCAGATTGCGAGATCGAGGAGGGAGTGGGAAAAAGGATCGAGATCGCGAGAGGGAGAGGGAGAGAGATCGATTGGGTCGGAGCAAGAAGAGAAGGGGTGATAGGTTGATGCACAGTAGCAGAGAGGATGGCGGAGAGGACACTTCGGAAGAGAGTATCAACGACGAAGATGACGACGACGACGACGACGGAACTAACGCCGCCGCCGGACCCAGCGCTTCCGTCAGAATGCTTCCGCTCAACCCTTCCTCTCTCTCCAACCACCATCGGAAGGGCTTT